ATTTAAGTTTACATACAAGGATCTCAATTAGTTTTAAGGTCTTAAACTAAGTTAATATTATGCTAGCAAACTATTCTTATTAACTTTTTCTCATAAACCCGATGTGATTAGCTCATAAAAGGTTTTTCCTATCAACAATGGGTCATACTTAATCAAATGTGAACTAATCAATGATGAGCTATCACGTTGGGTTTGTAAAAGAAAGTTAATGAGAAGGGTTTGTCAACCTATATTTATTGCTTAGTAGTAATACTATGTTGACAAACCCTTCTTATTAACTTTCTCTCACTAACCCGATGTAGCAGCTCACAATCGAGTCTCACCTGCCAATAATAGGTTCCACCTAACCAAATCTGAGCTAACCAATGATGAGAAAAAAATGTCTCCATAGAAGTCCAATTTGAAGTCTTTGAACATGTGTTGAATGTGAGAAAAAAATGATCATGTCATTTATGAGCTATAGACCAAAAAATATGTAAGCACAAACTTTACACTATCTAAGCCATTTTGCTACATTTATGTAAGGGGAGAAATCAACCAGAAAGTGATAAGAGAGTAGTTCAATAATGGAGATCATGTCAACAAGAACTCACTGAATCCAACCCTTATGCTTTTAGCTTCATTAGGTTACTGTTATATCTTCGTTACAAAGATCACAAAAGGTTTTCCGAGACTCTTTTCTCTTCTAACTGTCTTCTACTTCTTCGCAATCCTTCCTTGGTTTTCTTCATCCAGCTTTCTCAGAGGAATTATTTCTTTCTTCATAACATGGATTGCTTCCTTCAAACTCCTCTTTTGCTTCAACCAGGGCCCTCTTTTTGCCTGTAAAACCTATCTAGATTTTGTTTTAATCACCGTTTTGCCTCTCAAAATCAAAGAAAACATACCAACTTCCTGTTCAAATAGCTTGGAAAAGTATGAGTTCGAGCAGCTTTTTAACAATCCATTTTTGGCTACATCGTTACAAGACTTTTGGGGAAGAAGGTGGAACCATTTATCTTCAAATATTTTGAGGCAAACAATATATGAACGGACCCGAAATTTTGTAAAGGGTATCGCTGGAGCCGGCCCGGCCAAAGTGGTGGCTTTGATCTTTACCCTGGTTGTTTCCGGGATCATGCATGAGACTATTTTTTACTACATCACGTGTGGGAAGTCACTTGGTTCTTTGTGTTGCATGGAATATGCATGATTTTCGAGTCTCCATTGAAGAATCTGGGTCGTGTCATGGGCTAGAGACTGGAGTCCGGTTCATCCGGCTGCATGCCTGCGTCGGTTGTATTATAGTAAGGGAGGTATGATAAATATAATTCACTATGTTTATGTATTTATATACGTGGTATTATAAAACTTTCTCAAATTTAATACCTTTATGATACAAAGTATTAACTTATAATATTGCTGATGGGTATCACCGTGGTACATAAGCTTTTTGTATACTCATAGTATAAGACTGAAATTACCTAAGGGAAATAATGCATACACTTAAAATTTAATTAAGACCTATAAATACCTACAATTAAACATCTAGTAAATGCCTAAACTCCCTTTCAATATTCAAGAATTCTATGAAAGCAATATACTCTCTACGTGCCTTAACATCGACTTCATTCCGCAACAGCGCCGGTATAAACAGCCGTGAGCCGGTGACCGCCACGAAAGCCACCACCAATGGACCGGAAACCACCCTAGGCAACCGCCACTTGTCTTTCAAAGCCCCTTTCCCGGCCATTTCAGCAGCCAAACACAGCCCATGTAAGAGAAAGAAGCACGTGACATCCCACCTCGGCTTCGCTCTTCCAAAGTAATAAAATAGTAACTCATGCATCAAACCAGACACCAAAAAAGTTGCAAGAACCGCTGGCACTCGAGCCCACTTTGCCCCAATCACACGGCTTGAAATGAAGCGGACGGGATTGTATACGGTCGGCCGTAGAATATCTGAAACCATAAGGTTCCATCTTCTTCCCCAGAAGTCTTGCAGTGAAGTCGACAAATATGGCTCAGCAAACTGCGGCTCGAGCTCGATGCCGATTAGCGTTCTAGCCAATGCTCCACCGAGGAGTAGAGTGAGTTCAAGACTGAGATACAAGTAGATGCAATACATAAACAACATGATATCCGGGTGGAAATTTTGTTTGTTGCTGTAAATGAGTAGGAAAAAAGCGAGTAGAAGGAACTTTACGGCGTGTTTTTGGGGTGATTTTGAGGTTTTTAGTGGAGTTTTTTGAAGATTTTGAGATGACGGGTGGTGTTGAATCTTGACAGGGAAACAAGCTAAAGCAATGAAAGTTTGTAAAGAGAGATTTCGGTAGGAAGATAAAGGGCCTTTACCGAAGGCGAAGAGAAGAAGTTTGAAGTTGGCGAGCCAAACGAGGAAGAAACTTGTTGGGCCAACAAAATTAATGGCGTGGAGATTGAAAGGGAGGATGAGGAAGATGAAGATGACGGGGAAAATAGCGAGAAGTCTGGTGAAGCCTTTGGGGATAATCTTTCCAATGGCGTAACAGTAGCAGAGTGATGCCACAGCTGCAAGCCATACCATAATGAACGTGTTGATTTCATTATTTTCACCTTTCATTGTTGCTTAATTTTTCTGGCCTCGTATGAGGAAGAAGATGAAGATGAATTCATACAATGTTGAAATTGAATGAATGATGGATCTTGTGTTAATATTTAGTGGCGCCATGTGTTTGTGATGCGAGCTTGGATTTAATAAAGTCAGGCGGCATGTGCAGTGGAGCACGCTAGCAATATATAAATATTCAAGTTGACATGAAGAGGATCTTGAATCTTGATTATAAATATAATGAGTAAACGACTTTTTTCCAAGATTACACTTTTCCATCCAAAGAGTTTCAATATAGTGATATACAATTTTTCCACTTAAAGTTAATACTTCATTCGTACTCAAAGCCGATTCTGGTCAATTTGGATGGTAAAAATTCTCTCCATCACCACTATTTGAATCTCCAGTCTCTTCTATACAAGACTTTCTAACTCTGGCACTTGATATCTCACCGATTGTTGACCATCGTAAAGCTATGTTTTCTTGTTGTTAATTGATTTCCGACTGATTCTATCGACAAATATTCAATCAGTCGCTACTGTTCGATCCACTAGTCTTCACTCTACAAAACCCCTATTTCCTTAGCTCTTGGTAGCTCGTCGAACGCTGATTGAGAAAGTGAAACGTATTTTGGATAGTAATGAAGTTTTAACTTTGGGTGGAAAAATGTTGTTTTGAATCTTTTTGGGTGAGAAAATGTCATTAAGGCAAACTTTGGGTGGGAAAAAATGGCTTACTCTAAACATAATTGGTAATGAATGATTCAATATAATTAATTAATAATTAGTTGTTAATTAATAAAAGGCTTGTTTACTTGAGACAATTATAAAATTATGAAAGAAAAGTTCATAAGCAATATATTCTTGATGCTGTCATATCTTGCAATTGGGACATGAAAGTATAAATTAAGTTATAACATAGTTGTTATATTAAGTTATTAATCTATACATGGGCAGCTCATATGATTAGAGCAAATTAGAGATAGTATGAACGAGGACACAATCTCAAGTTTGATTTAATATTTCGATTATCCCCGATCTAAGTGTAACATAGAAGTTATATGTTATAATAAATTAAGGAGTTAAAGGCTCCATTTATTTCACCTTTCTAAATAGTATTTTATTCTGAATACTATTGGATAGTATTTAATCAAATAAGATAGATTTCTGAGAATGTGTTTGATACATTTTTTGAAAATATTTAGATTATTTTTAACTCTCTACATTTGTTAATTTAACCAAACACCCCCTCAAACGATAAAAGTTTATAAATTAATAAAAACATTCCCACCCACCCAATTGATTGTTGATAGCCGACCACCACCGCCGGATGGTGGCCGATATCGTTGGAATGGCAAAGATCTGGCCGTCATTGATGGCCAAACGACAGTCATCGTTTGGTTGTAAATCTAGCCAAAAACGGACAGATCGGCATACAACTGGCCAAATCCAATCGGTCGTGCGCCATTCGGGTGACTTTTGACCATCGTCCGATGGTAGTGGCCGATTGTCAGCAAAAAGTTGGGTTGGGGGGGGGGGGAGTTTGTTAATTTTAAAACCTTTATTGAGAAAAATAATTGTTAAATGTTTTGAATTGAATAGAGTATGATTGAATTTTAAACAATATTAAAACAAACATATTTTTATTTTTGAGGATAAGATAATAGAATAGGATAGGGTAGAAAAGTAAACAATGGGAGCCAAAGATGTTTACACAAATTATTAATAAATTCATATATAATTCCGCTCATGGTTTAATGAATAAATGCATTAAAGATTTTATTCTTTAATGTCCTTAACCTACGTTCTTTAAATAACACTTAATGAAATTCAAAAATTTCATATTAGTGATTATCATATTTTAATTCAAATTTCAGTTCTTTAATTAAAATTTTCAATTTCAATACAAATGATTTGTTAGCGGAATATTTGATCAAACACATAACCAATGTGCCTAATTAGAACCATCAAGGAAAGAACTACAAAGAAGAAAAGAAAAGACATACGAAATTTACGTGATTCGGCCTATGTTCATGAGGCACAACAATCTCTTTCTACTTAGGAACAACATATCACCTCTTAATTACATACTTATAAAAGACCTACTACATCGATCACCTATTTATAGTATTCGAATTCAAAGACTTTAAGAACCCACAACCTTCAAAGAATAAGAATTTTAAATAAATATGAATACATAAAAGAAATAAATTTAATGTAAATAAAATAATAATAATTTAATGTAATCCTAGATAAAAAAGCAATAAAGATAAGCTCACAACCCAATTTTACAAACTTTCTTTCATAACTCTAACGTAATAACTCGAAATTGATTAGTTCGTAATTAGATGAACGAGACATATTATAAATTGATCGAATTGCAAATTGTTCTGTTGGAGTTTTAAGAAAAAGATGATAAAATTAAAATATTAAGTATAGTATTACCCATGGAAAAGACTCCGGGATTCTCATCAAAACCAAAGAATGCGTCCATAGATTTCAAAGTGACGATACCACCTTAACAAATCTAAGTACGAAAATGAATATATAAAAGAGAGAAATAGCAAATTATTCGATGAGAACAAAGTGAGGAGATTTCTAGGAAGGTGAAAATGTCAAAGCACGACCAAAATCCTTTACAAACGCGCCTACAGCTGCGTATTCTTCAAACGCCCTAACATCAGTGTTACACCGGAGAAGTGTTGGGAAGAACCACCAAAAACTGGTAACCATCACGAATCCAACCGTCAACATCGTCCTTAAAACCGTTATTAACCGCGACTTGATCATGATATTTTGATTGGCCCAAACTTTTTTCAAAGCAATCTCAGCCATTAAACACATTCCATGGAACACAAAAAACCACGTAATCTCCCAGGTGGGTCTGACGCGCCCCAAGTAGTAAAAAATCAGCTCGTGCATTGCAGCCGAGACAAGAAACGTGCTAAAAACCGCCGGGAGTGGAGCCCACTTCCGACCGACGGCACGGGCGGAAATATAGAGAACTGGTTCGTGCACGGTCGGTCGAAGAATGCGGGTGACCATGAGGTTCCATCTTCTTCCCCAGAAGTCTTGCAGTGACGTGGCGAGATAGGGCTCGTCGAACTGCGGCTCGAGCTCGAGGCCGAACAGGGCCCGAACCAGGGCTTGAACCATGGCAAGGGTGAGCTCGAGGACGAAGAAAATATGGAAACTATAGAGAACAAGAATGAGCTTTGGGTGAAGGTAGTTATTATAGTTATATGCCTGTAAAAGTGCAGCCAAAAGGAGACATTTTATGGCGTAGTTTAAAGGAGATTTGTGGCCTTTTCTGGATTTTGAAAGAGGGTTTTGTTGGATTTTGATGGGCAAACAAGCCATGGCGATGAACCGAGGTAAAGAGAGAGGAGGGTTAGAGGAAGACAGTGGGCCTTTACCGAAGGCGAAAAGCAAGAGTTTGAAGTTGGTAAGCCAAGCGAGGAAGAAGGCGGTCATACCGCCGAGATGAATGGAGGATAGTTTGAGAGGAAGGAAGAGAAAAAGGCAAATAATTGGGAGTACACAGAAGAGTCCGGTGAAGCCTTTAGGGGTTACTTTGCTGATGGCATAGCAGTAGGATAGAGATATGAAGACTGAGAGCCATACCTTGGTGAAGTTGAACACCTCTCCTGCAGGCACCATTTTGCTGCTGATCTTCTGCAATGATTTTTGGAAAGATTTTGGTGTTGGAGCCTTCGAGGTGCAGAAAATCAAAGTCTTTACAGAATAAAGTTAAGCGACAGAATAAATGCCCTTGCCTCCTTGGGGCCCTGGGGGCCGATGCTTAATTATTTATTGCTTACTTTCCTCCAATACGAATTAAGATTAGGAATTGACCGTCAGCTTAGGAAAATACAGTTTATTTTGGTAATTGCCACGTCAATAGATGATTATTTGGGTATGATGGTTCTCGTCTCTTTTCAAATATATTGTGTCAATGGCCGCCAATGTGGAATCGTGAGGCATCAATTCCTCATCAATGTTTGTCTTTTAGCTGAGATAATTCTCTGTTTCGTCCAGGTGTTGTGGACAAAAATATTGTTCTCTCGTACCATAATTGAGGTTAATTGATTCTTTAATTTGTTGCCTTCATATGCTAGTTCCATGTGCATTGTATTTTTGTCTAAATTATAAACGAGAGATACTGATCTTTGGGATGTTTTGCTAAGTAGATTCATTATTAATGAAAGAAGAAATCATAGTAGAGATTTGCAGAGTTGATAGTTTTTAGTAGAGATTTGCAGAGTTGATAGTTTTCAGTAACAAGGATAAAATTTCTTTAAAAGAGAACTCTCATAAGATATTAAAATATGTTGGTGTCAAAGTCCAACATCGATTAAGAGACGAGAGTTTTGATCACTTATATAGCACAATGACACTTTCACTACTCAAGAGATCTTTTCAGGACAAAACCGTACTGGTCTGGACTCAAAACGGATAATACTGTTAGAAACACACCTACCATCTCTACCATGTATCTGGATCCGACATACCTGGAATAAAGATAATCCAAGCTAAACAAGAATATACATCCAAGTTCCACAAATCCAACATTCTTTCTTCTCAATTATCATCATCATCTTCTCCAATCCCTTTATCATTCAGTTCATCCCGGGCACTATTGCCTCCTCCACCACCGGCATTCATCACCCTTTTCTCCTTTTTTTCATCGTCGTCATATGTGTTAGATAAAGAGTAATATAACGAGTTATTAAAACCAAGACAAAGGAGGTGATGAAAACGACTGCTCTGCCACCATTTCAGCATCTGCAATTGTTTTATTTATACGTTTCAGCTACAGTACGGTACCGTTTAAATGAGTCCGTAAGAGGCCATCAAATCCTTAAGGCCAATACTTTCTCTGGGCTTAATTGCAACTCGGAATGTTTATATCCAGTACTTAAAGAATATAACCCTTTATAAAACCATTTATTTAGCAAATAAAAATATTTTGTCTCACTTGCTTTTAAAAGAGAAATTATATTAAATAACACTATTTTAAGCTTTGAGTTGAAAAGTGGCTCAAGAAATAGCGTAATCCCATTTTACAGGTTGAAAACGGGTTTTGACCGACACCAGCCACACCACCTCTTACAGACTTACAGCCACATTCAGCCAACTTCACCCTTCAACGCTAAAGTGGTCCAATATTGCCGAATCATGTCAATAGACCGAATTTGGCCAAACCTTACATGCTGGAATTTGGCTAAATCTTAGTGTTTCGGCCAAAACATGCTTCTTCCTCTCCAAATGACTTGTAATTTTTGGCCTACAAGATCATTAGGATCAGCCAAAACCCCTTGTCGGCCAAAAATGCAAGTCTCCATTATCATTTGCCACTGCCAAGAAGCATTAAAACCACCCAAAATTGCACCATCAAACAATAATCAACCCCATCTCTCGTTCAAAACCAACAACTCCATTAAAAATCCAAAATCAACTTAAATGCAATTCAAATCAACTAAAATCCAAGACCAAATCAAATAACAAAATCGGTTTTTAGGTTGGGTTTTCGAAGTTTTCAATAGAGGGAATGGTTAGTATGAGTTTAAAGAAGATGAATGAAAGTTTAGGTTTATTTATATATAAGGGCATTTTCATCCTTCAAATTTATGTAAAATGAGGTTGTGCTATTTCTTGAGAAGGTTTTCAAAAAGTGTTAAGATTTCAAATTTTTTTTCCCTTTTTGGTATCTGGGGATGTTCGGATTAGCTTTCATGCACCTCAACTAGTCTTCCGAAATGAAGTTAACAACTCGATAAACCTTCAATAGTTATCCTTTATTAGTAATCATGGGGGTTTAAACTTAAAATCTCTTAAATAATACACCTCGTGAACTGCTACCTAGAGGGAGAGCTTTAGATTTCAATTCCCAACACAAAATAGTGTCATTTAATATAGTTTCTCAAAATGGGTTATCTGTTATGAGAGAGAAAGTTCAGTTATCCTTCTTGAACAAAAATTGCCTAAACATAATTTCCCAGAAGCAAATTTGGAGAAGTAATGTTATATCAGAAAAAACTGAATACCCTGTTCACTTTTAATATTATATACTGAATTGGGTTATGAATTTGTAGGACTTTCTTGTGACCACTGCAGAAGAATAGAACAACTGAATGATTCAGAAAGAGAAAAGAAGAAAAAGAGAAAGTTAACACTGCACTGCTTTCAAGTTTCAACCTTCTTTTTTTTTGTTTTTTTGAGTCCCCCAGTACTGAATCATCAGTTAACAACCTCAAACTACAAAGATAAAGCTTACCACAACACTAATTAATAATGCTGAAAAGCAAAAGAATTACAAAGTGACTGTGTGTGTGCGCTCAAACAGCCAAGCTCAATTTTTATTGATTGAGACTCTTCCTGAATGAAATGAATTTTTACTTGCTCCAATTGTTTCCAAATCCTCTCTCTTCTTCTTCTTCTTCACTGTGTAGAATCCACCAGTCTCAGATAGACTCAAAGAATAAGACACGCAAATGTGAAATATGTTAACATCTGAAGCAGATTTCAACTCAAAAACCATTTTGACTGAGGGGCCAAGCACTGAAACTCATCGGCAATTCACACTTCAAGTCGCCTGCCAATCTTTACGGATGTCGAATGTATGTTGATCTCCAGGTAGCACTTGTTGTCATCATCAACAAACTGAAAATACGCGAAAGCAGCCATCGAGGAATCATTAAGAGAATTGCAAATAGACACTTTGTAAACAGTGAAAATGGTATGAGGCTATTTTATCTATACAGTCGTGGCCCACAAATTGAAATTCACTTTATGCTTTATACCAGACATGTTATGAGGCCGACAACTAATTGAGTGGATCATTCATGGTAAAGTAACTCATATGGTATGGAGAAAATGAACATAGCCCCACTCTATTAGCTGCAATAATCATTTTAGGGCCACCGACTTGCAAATGGCATCAAATTAATATTGATCATAAAAGATATTTCAATGATGTATGAAAGCCAACTACTCACCTACGAGTCCCTCAATGAGAGATTAAAGATTACACAATCAAGGGTATGTGTTCATCACAACTGCAGTCATTTTCTTTCTTATTACTTGTCGTGTCTCAGAAGCTTAGCATGAATTTATATGTAGTGAATATGTGCAGGGAGCACTATGGTCCACCTATCTTAAAATTTTGAATTATAGCCTATGTCTCAAAATTTTCTATCACTCACAAATTGTTGGCATACTCATGCTGTAGCGAAGACTATAATCACAGAACACCTCAGAACTTCACCTCTTCTAGCCGATATGATCCTCTAGCAAAAATGCCGGACGGGTGGAGTTTCTTTCGGGCATTCTTGTTATAAGTTCTGCCTGAGGCTAAGGTTCCAGCATTTCCTTCGTGCTACCAACTGTTAAAGGATTCATAGTTCATGTGGGGGATAATCATACCCAAGCGTCGAAGGCCTATTCTTTCTCAAAACTTAGAGAAAACAGAGAGAGCGAGATTACCCTTGACACCAGTTTTTCCAACTTTGTTAGTGTATTTGAGGCCGGATACATATTTTGCTAACCTGGAAAGTGAACTGTAGGCTGTAAGGCTACCTTCTTTTAAGGTAAACCACAAACTTTGACTTTGCCACTGTCAGGAAGCTGCGAACAATCATACTGGTCTACCGGGCGATTATTGAAAGGCCAAGTCTTAACATCGGTTCACGTTTCTACCATCATGCTAATGGTAAAAGAAAATATGAGAGGCATGATAAAATCTATCCCATTACAAGCGAAATATATAGTTTATTACAAAAAGAATCAAAAGGAACCAACATCAGCAGCAGTGAGCCAAATTGAAATAATTTCCATGGCAACGTTTGAGGAATCAACACAATCATCATACAAATTTGTTGAATTTTAACCCCCATTGTCAAAGTTTTTTCTCTTATATTTACCAACTTTTCAAGAGAATTTCCCCATCTCAGAGCACCCAATGCATCAAGATGTCTGATGCCTAGGAACCAATTCAAAGAGGCACAATATTAACCCCACGTATGCATTATCAAAGTGATCTTTCGAGTGAGAAAGAGTAAAAAACTTACAAGAAACGAAAGAAATTGTAACTTTAAAGGCATTGAGATAAAGATCAAACTTTTGTTTGCTCTGTTATCAAATTCTCGAGTCCCAACAAACTAACGAAAAAATTAAGCAAATTAGTGTTTTTTTTTTTTTTTTTTTACCCTCAACAGAATTGATATCCACACTCCCAAGAACTGTCTTTCCATCTCCTCAAGCTCTCGTCATCCTAAAGTCCTCAAAAAACCAGCACAAAAAGAAATAAAATTAAAAGAGAAGAAGAAGAAGAAGAAGAAACAAAGAAAGAAGACTAAAGAACAAACAAAACCTTATCCTTTTCAAATGTGTTCTTAAGAGTGTACAAGGACCCAACTCAATCTGTCTATCTCATCTTCTTCCTTCATCCTCAGTTTGCAGAAATAGAATTCTCACTCATTTGCTCTAGATATACTCCACCACTGGCTCATTCTTAGCCTGTTCATTTGGAGGTGTTTTGTTACCGTCTCACACCCGAAACTCCACCACCCCACTCTCATTGCTCTTTCCACTCAAAAACCCCATGGTTGCTGGAACTTAGATCCACCCCAACCTCCAAGACGATCAAAAGTCCATCAACATACACACAAACAAAGATATAGAATCACCACTCGTCACTGACTAAATAACCGAAGTAAAGTACACCAAGGAAAGCCAAACCACTACGGCTCCTTTTAAAAACCAGAA